AAAAAAAAATTCCCTTTCGAATATTTGATGACGAGGAATATTTTAAACAACTTATATCACCATACGAGCAGAAGTTTGGTATACATTTAAACTCAAAGAAGATAGTAAGCCTTCTTGACAAAGCAAGTCAACAAATTAAGGAAAAAATAGGTCATTCGGTAAAAAATAAAATAATATCTATAAAAATTTACATCGCAACTCTCATGCATGCTAGGGATCAACATCCAATACATTAAAGATTACAAAGTCATTGTTCATACAATTGGTAAGTAATTTCGTTTTATATAAATAAACCCACATACATACATATGTATATTCATTTAAATGAATAAGTAATCGACAATCATACTTCTTTACTTTTTTTTTCAGGAACGATTGAAACAACTAAACGACATACAGCTGCAAATTTAAAGGAAGAAATGAAATGTCTCAACGAGTATGGCATTGGGATAAACCAAATTTATTCCAATACCACTGACAACGGCGCAAATGTAGTTAAAGCGTCCAAATTGCTACACGATATGCAGAAAGAAAGTTTAGCAAACGAAGATGCTATAAATGATGTTGAGGCAGATCATATTGAGTCCCAAATCGCTTCTGTGTTTTCTGTGGTTCCTTGTGCTGCTCATACTATTCAGCTAGCAGCATATGATGTCATAAAAACAATTGAAAAAGACTTGGAAGAGTGCAGGACGATTGTAAAAAAATTGAGAACCTTAGTAAGAGCAGGAAATACCGACATCAGTTTGCCATTCATCGACAACAGAACTAGGTGGAACTCTACGTATGATATGATGGAATCACTTTACCGAATCAAAGAATACATTGAAAATTTGGATAAAAACATGTACATAAATTGGTCATTCGTAAAGGATTTTCTCACCGCTTTTCAACCAATCTCTAAGTGCACCCTAAAACTTCAAAATAAGCAGTATATTATAAGAGACTTCTTCAGGGATTGGCTTACTTGCGAACTAGAGCTTGCAGACTTGGTCCCAGACAATGTTTATGCAGATTCCCTCCTAAATGCGATGAAAATAAGAAAAAATGTCCTTTTAGAATATAAGGCTTTCGTCGCTGCTCTATATCTAGATCCAAGATTTAATTTTGAAGAAACACCTCTCCTCAGCTCTGAGCAAAAGGATGTTGCAATGGTAAGCCAACTGAAATTTACTTCAAAATTCATTATCTTGATATTATATTTCATTCAATTAATTTATTGTTTACTTTGAACTTTTTATATCTTTATAATTGTGAGAGACTAATCCAGTTATTTTAATTTTTCCTAATCTTTTACAGGATCACTTAATAAGGACTTACGAAATGATCCAGAAAATTGAAAATCCATCAGAATGAGAATGATTGCACTTCTGGAGTTGTACCACATACAACACAGGAC